AGGTCCCGCAGTAGCCTTGATGGAGTACGGTCGCCCATGCCACCCGACTGTACAATGTTTTGGAGGCGAATTGCCTGTGGGACGGTGTACGTATTGATCAATCGTTGTCGAATATCGTCGTATGACGCGTTATCCCCTAGTAGGTCGGCGATAGTATTGACGCCGTCTGCATCCATAGCTTCCACCACATGGTTGACCCGCGTGAGGTCGGACTTTATGCGTTTATTCGCGAACATCGAGTCTGCGTGTGCGAACCAATTTCGTGGAGCTTGACGCCAGAAACCAGGAAGTCGGATGTGTGAGACCGCTTCCACCTCAGCCTTCATGGTGATGGGAGCGGTGATGGATGGTGTGGTGTTAACCGTGGTTGCTGGTGCGGAATTTGCACTTATCGAGCCCGCGGCGGTTAACGTCGTGCACGTTGTGGCGGTGGACGTGACCGGTGTGTCGTTAGTCATAGTCGATTTCTAGTTGCGCGAAGTCGGATGCGAACGGATACAAACGGGCGAACACCTTTTCGTACGCACTCACGGCGGACTTTCGCGGCGGTAAACGACGGTAAACGGCGGTAAACGGCTGATTGACCGCGAGACTTGGTCGTTCGAAATGCTGAGGTCACCAATTTGGTAAGTGCGAAACACCGCGCTTACCCAAAACGTCTTGACTCTTGGTCAGAAAGAAAGGTTACCAAGTCCGCGTACACGGAACGAACTAAAAAAGTGTAATTGTTGTCGGACGCGTTTGCGTCGCTAAATAATTTATTATGTATAAAAAAAGGTACAAATATAAAACACATATAATACTGCCGCTCGTACGTAGAGCGGGTAGTTAAATAATTAAAACAAATGGTCGTATTCGCTCGTTAATCGTTTCGCGTCGGTTAACACGGAGCGCGTTACGTGCGGTGCGAGAAGAGCGAGAGAGGCTCGGGTCGTCGGCGGCCCGTCGCCCGCGGGTGTCGAGAGCGCGGCCGTGCGGGCTTACAAAGAACATAAATATAATTTCACAGAGGTCGTATACCGAATTGTGTGTGACGGACGAATACAATACAAACGTGATCGCGAATATAATATAATTCATAATGCCTTCGCGCCGTTTCGCGAGTGGTGATAAGCCGCGTATCGCCACAGGGTGCTTGATAACACGTTCGTGATAAGAAATAATTTTCATTAAATGATAACATCTTAGAAATAATATGTACATTTATACAAGTTAAATAGGGCTAGTTATTACCAATAAGTGTACGTGACGGGGTGGCGCAGTGGCATGGTGGCCGCTCACCAAACCACCGGCACGGGTTCGAAACCCGGTCGGACGGAAAAATTTTTTAACTTATTTTCCCCGGGCGGCTGGTGGGGGTAGTCGACCGGCGGTGGGTTCTGCCGTCGGCGGCGGGCTCTGCTGCCGTGTGTCAGGGTTCTGCTCGAGAGCATAAGGGATCTGCCAGCAGGTTCTGGTTCTAGAACTGTCTTTTTTACTCTACTCCAGTTGTAAAAAAGTGAATTTTCAGTGAGTTAATCAATTTAATATTTTCATATTTATCATCTTAAATTTAACATTCATATTTATTCATTTATAATTAATATGAGTTACGACATAGAAGAGCTTATTATGGAAGTATCTGTGGAAGATTCTATATGGAATATTAGTAAGTTATAAATATTATTTACAATTTCTGATAGAAAATTGAATATAGTTGATACCTTTGAGGGGTCAAAATTGAAAATTCCCAGTACTTTTTGAAAGTGTCTTTAAAAACAAAAAAAATGAAAAAAATGCTTATTTTTAGACAAAACCAATTTTATTATGAAACTCAAAAACAAATACCGTAGGCACTTTTTACTATTTTCACCAAATATTTATATTTGCGTTTTCCATATAATATGGTGATATTTTCGATATTTTTTAACTTTTTTTAAGCTATTTATAAGCTTGAAGAATTTTTTAAATTTTGTAAATTTTTTTTGATAAAAACTTCCACTTGGTAATAAAGCTTGAAAATTCAACACAAGAGTCCTTGCTTTAATAACCGATCAAAAATATTAAAAATATATTATGTTATTATAAAATACAATTACTTTTTATATGCATTTAAAGTTCAAATGTTGACAAAATTCATCAAAATTTCAAATTTGTAAATTATTTTTGAGTTCAAAATTCATAAAAGTTTTTTTCTTTTCAAAGGTGACATTAAACATTTTAATAGAAGATTTTCTCAAATGTTCCTACCTAAACAAAAATTTCTTATCATTTGTAATTTTATATAGGTAACTATTCTTTTATTTATATTGTTTTCATAAATCATAGAAGCAAAAGAATATCATGATAAGGTAGCAAAGCACGTAAGTTGGATAAAAGTGGCAACAGCTGTGTTGAAGAATTTTGAAACTCTTGAAGAGACAGAGAAGCAGAAACAAAGTAATTAATGTTTGAAATAATTATAAATAAATTAAAATAATAGTTTGCATTTAAAAAATAGATTAATAATAATGCTACTTATACATGTTGATTAATTAATTTAAATTTTTGATTCTGAGCTGAGCGATGAATGTATTGATTTTACAATGATGTGTTTTTTATTTATTTATTTTTTTGTGTCTATCATCACCTTGTAAGACAGTAAAAATGCTTAGATTTTCTTCAACAGTATTTTTTCTGACAGGAAAGTGAATCTAGTTGATACTTAGGTGTGGCCAAAAGTAAAAATTTCCAAGTAGTTTTCAAAATTGTTGTAAATATTTAAATCATTTTAAGCTTTTTGACGGACAATTTAAAATTTATTTTGGTTTTTTTCTATAAATATCGATACAATTTTATTTGTTAGGTCAAAAAGAGTGAACATTTAATACAAACCTCCTGAATATTGAATGTCACAATAGCAGTTGAAAAATATTGAAAATAAATTGGAACAATTTTTTTTCATAAGCTTTATAGTTCAAATTCTTACAATATTTATCAAAATCTCTAAAATTATCAATCATTGTAGGTAATTAAAAAATGATCAGTTTTTATAACTAAGGATCAACAATTTAAAACAAAAATTCTCATAAATAGTTCATACTTTAACCAAAAATCAAAAAAATATATAAACAAAGTTATTTTTTACAGACATTTTAAATTCAAATTTGGACGAAATTACATACTATTTACACATTTTTTTTTTTACTTATGAATCACATACTTCATTAATAATATATATATGCAGACTATCTCTACAATACCTATTATTTACAGTCCTTATACTCCAGAAAAAGTGGAAAAACTTAAAAGATACCTATCGGAGGAAATGCATTACAAAATCAGGGCAAGCTGCCAATAAAATTAAAGAATATATTTATTCCAATATTTTGGAGTTTTTGAAACCAACAATGGATAATAGAAGGTTAGTAGTGCTCAGTGCTTTGATAATAAATACAATTAATATTTATATTAACTACTTGCTTATACTTAAATAACTTAATATTTAACTTATATTATAAATATTAAGTAAATACTTGATAAATAAATACTTAATACTAATTAATTATTTATTTTGTACGACACATATATTTTACTAAAAATTTAAAAAAACATCCTTCTTTTAGGACTGAAGGTAATTTTAATTTTGATACTGAAATATAATGGAATTGAAGATGATGCTGATGAAGAACAAGCAAATGAAGAAGTAGAAAAAGAAGTGGAAGAAGAAAGTCATTCAAAAAGCCCAGATTAGGAACATTAAAATCAAATAAATATGATGAAAAAATGTCACCTTTTGAAAATCAACTCGTTGATCTTATGAAAAATAAACAAACCGACGATGATCCGGATAAATTGTTTTTACTGTCGCTTTTACCAAAATTAAAATTATTAAACGAAGATCAAAAACTCTGTGCACAGATAGAAATATTAAACATATTTCAAAAAATTAAAAACCCACAACCTGCACCGGCTGCACCTATTCAACACGGACAACATTTTTCCATTCCCAACATTCAACCACTTCATCCATCATTAGTGAATTCATATGTACAAAACCCATCATCACACCCAATTTATACCCAAACGTATTCAAATTATCCTGCCCCTAATTCCCAAAACTGTCATTCTTCATATGATGATAACGGCTCACAAAATATCTAGTTGTTACCTGAAATGTTGTACATTTATATTTGTTTTTTAACAGTGTGTAGTATAATTACAAATATCTTAATAATTTATTTTTATAAATGTATTTATATTTTAAATTAACCACCCACAAAAGTATTATTTTTTTTTTTCTTAATTGTTTTTAAATATTATAAAAGTATTGATTTTTAATTATTTTTTAAATGAACCCAAAGAAGTATGGGTATAAGTATTTATTATTATTTTTTTTTAATTGTTTTAAATATTATTATAAAGAAAAATACATTTTCTTTTTAATTATGTTGTATGTTATATTTATGTTAGTATATTGTAACTAACCATTACAACTTTTATTTTTTATCAATTGAAAATTTGTAAACATTTTAATAATAATAATTTTTTGATCTTGTATATATTATTAACACGTTGACGGACACTCAGAAATACCATTTTGTTCTACAGCCATACTTTAAAATGTCACTTTTTCATTACTGCTATAGCAGTGAAATTAATATTACTGTTATAGCAGTAATGCCTTTATACGCCTAAATTTTGATGTACATATGCCAAAATCATTTAATTACTGCTATAGCAGTATTGTAATTTTTTATTAATTTTTTCGATTTTTGCCCTTTATTTTTATCAAAACATGTCAAAATAAATCTTTAATTTAATTACATTAGTACTTTGTTGATATGATAAATAATAAAATGATACATTTTTTCGATTTTTGCCCTTTATTTTTATCAAAACATGTCAAAATAAATCTTAATTTAATTACATTAGTACTTTGTTAATATCGAGGTTAATATGATAAATAAACATTAAATATACATTACACTCTGGTTCAGTAGTTCTAAAAACAAAAATTTAAAAATTTAAATATTAGATTATTATTTCGAGGAATGGTACATTTCAAAACATTTTCCTGGACATAATGGAACAACACATTGTTTACATTGCAGATATGTTTGTCTTCTGCGTTTGATGTTCAAGCTGTAACAATATAGACAATTTTTATAATATTTTTTTCTTTTGTAACCCGGTGGAATTGGTATATTCTCTTGACAATGAGAACTGTCAGCAACGTTTGTAGGTTTTTTTCTTCCTTTTTTATTTTTATTTGCTGTACAAATTTCATAACTTGTAATATTTGGAGGCAGCGAAATTAAATCCTTGATTATCATGTCCCTAAAATCCTTGAAATTTGTATTTTCATCATTAAATTTTTTTTTGTATATATAATAAGTGTTCCATACAGCAAGGTCTAATAAATGAAGTATAACTTTCTTATACCATTTACATGTTTTTCTGGGTGAACTGTAATAGCTAACCATTTGGTCAGATCTATCAACTCCACTCATTTTTTCATTATAGTTTACAATTTCTATAGGTTTTAACTTTTGTTGCCCATATTTATTGGTTGATGTGACGATTTGTGGATGATATTTGGTAGTGATAATTGTGACGTCACGTTTGTCTTTCCATTTTGAAATGTAAATTTCATTTTTTCTCTGCCATACGTGATCACCCTTTTTCAATTTCTTTTTAGTGACCTCTTCAGGATTTCCTTTCCTATTGCTTCTCAGAGTTCCCGTACTATGTGTTTTTTTTTTTAATAATAATTCGGAAAGAGTAGTGCTGTTATAATAATTGTCCATGAATAAACTGTGGCCTTTGCATAAATATGGATCCATAAGCCTAAGGACTAGGCTATCTGTTTTAGAATTTGTTGACGGCAATAAATAATTATTTTTACCCTTATAAACTTCAATATTTAACACGTATCCATTAGGATCACATAGTTCAAAAAACTTTATCCCATATTTTGCCTTCTTGCCCTTTATATATTGCCTAAAGCTTAATCTTCCGCGATGTAACAGTAGTGACTCGTCTAAAGATAAATCTTCTCCCGGGTAAAATGCTTTTTGAAAATTTGCAATTAGTATTTTGAACAGTGGATTTAATTTGCTCATTGGGCCAGTATCTGTGGATAGACCTGAATATTCAACGCTGAAGTACGCGAGAAGCTGTTCAAAACGTCGCCCTGACATGGTGTATTTTATTATAGGGTGATAATATAATGGATTATTTGAGAAAATATCCCGCAATGATGGAAATTTTAATGAACCCATAAGCATACACATTCCAAGAAATTTTTTTATTTCTTCTGGGTCAGTTTCAGTAAATTTAGATTTACGAGAATATTTTCCATGAGGTCGATTTTTATTTTTTTGGTTTAATCCGTATGCATTTGTAGATTTCACGATAATGTCAATAACTTCTTTAGTCCAAATTTGATTAAATATTTCAATTGGGGAATGACGAGCAGTTTCTTCAATATTTAATTTGATTCCACTAGTTGTAGTATCAAAATTAAAATCAGGTATAGGTATATAGTCATCCTTCCATAATGTATCAGTTGAATTAGAATTAGAATTATTATAATCACTATCATCGCTAGATGTGTTGTCAAAAGAATTTTCATCGTTAGAATAATCAATTTGATTTTGTAACGTACCTGTCGAAGGGCCAGGAGTATACAAATTATCTAAAGTTGAGCTTGGACTTGAACTTGGATTTGTGTTTCGATGACCTCCTGGTAGAAAAGTTGGGTCATTGTCAGTATCATCCGTAAAAAAAGAACTGTCAGAATTAAAGTCGGTGTCTGACAAAAATTGGTTTATTCGATTTTCTTCACGATCAGTCATTTTAATTTTTATATAGGACACGAATAGTATAATAAACACGAAGCTATTACGAACTATTACGCCGAACAAGCCGAATGTAACTGATAAACATTGCCACGCGCCCATAAAGAGAAACGTTGTTGTTGACATTTGATAAATATTATTGGAATTACCTATGTGAACTTATAAATAAAAATTCAATTTAATTCGACAGTGCCCAAATGCGCAATATGCTTAATGTTGGCAACACAACTTCCTGTTTCATAAGAAACCATTGGAAATATTACTGCTATTACAGTAATGCCACATTTAAGAAGGTTTTTAGAATACTGCTATAGCAGTAATATTTTAAACTGCCATTATAGACACAAATTGACGATTACTGCTATAGCAGTAAAATTGATCGAGTGTCCGTCAACGTGTTAAATATAATATAATAATTATTATTAAATAATATCCTAAGGCCCGGTTTTTCAATCACCCAACTATTCGTTAAATAACTATTCGTTGAATAAACCTATTCAGCAAATAAACTTCCAAATAAAACAAAAAATTATGCCTACTGTTTTTCAATATAAATTTATTATCCGAATAGTTATTCGGAGAATAAAACTAATCAGTAGATGATAATGATAATATGTATAAGGAGTTGTGCATTGTGGAACAAGTTGAAGAGTTCTGATCCATTCTAATTGGTTGAAATATCTCATCAGTGATAAGACAATATTATCAAAGAAAAATCTGTATATTATTATTATAAACAATAAACTGTTATATTGCTATTCTAAATTTCTAAAATTCTGTATTATTCTGTTATTCATCAATCATCATTAATCAAAAATATCAATTAATTTACAACACTCCCAAAACATATTATAAAATATTGCCCTTATAATATACTAATATTTTATTACCTGGATTTTGTATTTTTACATGGGTGCAATCAATAGCACCAATAACTCTAGGAAATTTAGCGATATCATAAAAACGGTTCTGTAATGTATTTATTTCTAATTCTGTGTCTGGCATTTTTATGAACCGTGGCATCAGTCTTGCTAATGCAACACTGACATCACGAACAATTAATGATGATGTAGGTAGTTTTGCTTACTCCCAAAAAATCTCAAGCAGTTATTAGAAAATTCCCAGTAGCATAAAATCGTAAAGTTAAAAGCAGTTTGTTTATGGATGTTACGGCATGATTTCTAAAATAATTTTAACATTTACAAATTACACAATACAAAATTTGATATAGCAATTATTTTATTATTGTATAGATAATCACCTATATGATTGTGAAGATATTTGCTCTATTATATATCCTAAAACTTCAATAACTACTTCTTTGGAGATTCTAAATCTAACTTTAAAGTCTTGATCATCCCAAAACTCCATATGGTTAATTCGTACACGAATTGTGTACGTACGTCGTTGATAATTTAAAAACTCGACAATTTCAACATCGTCATCTTCGATAATGTCTAATACCGGCAATACCAATAATTCCATCATCGTAATTAGGTATCAAGAATTTTAAAGAACACCGGACAAAAGAAAAGACACAACGAATTTAAATAATATTGTTGAATACTATTATCATTGATTGTAAATTTGTAAATTGTAATTGCTGTAGATATCAATTTTTGGTAGTTATTAGTCAAATAAGTTCTTATTCGGTAGAAAAAGTACCGAATAATTTATTTGTGATTTATTCTCCAAATAAGACTTATTTCAATATTGAAAAACCGGAAAATAATATATTTTAGTTATTCGGCAAATAATTTGAGTTATTCGACGAATAAATCAGATTGAAAAACCGGGCCTAAATATATAATAATAAAATAATATTATTAAATAAACTAAATAGTAATAATAATGATATGATGTATTATATAAAAAAAATACTATTAATTATTAAATACATTATGTTTAATATCAAGTATGTAAATACGTTTTAATACCTATTGAAAATAAAAATGCTACGAAACTATCCATTATTATACGTCACTAACCTTATAACATATAACTTATAAGTAATCAAAAAATACATACTAAAAAACATTAAATAACAATAGTTACTAAGATTTTCTAATTACTTTATTCTGCCAGCTTAACGCGTGACTAGGATCATTAACATATTTAACAATGTACTCCCTCACATCTTTGGCACTAGTTGAAGAAGTTCCAACTCCTCTTCTTTCAGTTATACACTCTAAAGGACAACTGAGAGTGTGTTCGATGTTATATCCGTCCCGACGTCTAATAAAATTATGTAAGACACAACATGCTTTTGTGATAGTAGTAGCCATATCAGGATCAACTAAAATGCTAGTTTGGAAAACTCTCAATTTTTGAGATAAAATGCCAAAGGAACATTCTATTGTTTGTCGGGCCCTTGATAGCCGGTAGTTGAATATCCTTCTTTGGTCATTTAATGACCTACCAGGAAACGGTCTTAACAAATTGTTATGTAGGGCGAAAGCTTCATCACCCACAATTACAAATGGTTGAGGTTCACCGAAATTATCACCTGGTAAATTGTTATCTGGAGGAAAATTAATTTGGTTTGAATACAGTTTTTTTTCCCGAAAGACGATAATTTAAAAATGTTGCAGTCGCTTTCTTTTCCATAAGAACCAACATCTATTATTCGGAAACAATAGTTTGAATCACAGACTGCCATAAGAATAAGAGAATAATATTGTTTATAGTTATAATATAGTGTCCCACTATTTTTTTGGACATTCCGCCCTTATGTGTTTGCCATCAACAGCTCCAACGCAATTAGGAAATTGTGATGTTTTAAAATATCCATTTGATATTTCTAGCCAATCTTGAGTAGTAGGTGCCGCCATTTCAATGGGTTGCAATATTTTCCAAATAACATCACACGTTTCCAAAACTATTCTGGAAATTGTTGACACACCCATCAAGAATTCAAAATGTAGCGCGGTAAAATTAGTTCCAGTAGCTAGGTATCTAAAAAGAGAAGCATTCAAATTTAGCTAATTTTAGATTAGTTTTTGAATTGCAATAATATCATCAACATTAAAGTATATTTTATTTTGTTTGTGCAAAATGCCAAAATAACTATATTGTATACAATAATAATTTTTTTTATGTTTTTTCGTCTAGGTACAATGCACATATATTAATATGTGAGAATAATTTTTAATCCTAGAAAGGTACCTATTTAATTTAGTTGTTGTTAATTATTTTCAATAAATATAACATGTATTACCTATGGGCTATGCACCTATATGGCTATATAAATACATATATGATAAAACACTGAATTTAAATCAAAATTAATTTGAAAACCTTTTTTCCGTATGACTTTTTTTCCGTAAAACTCTCTTACCATCAGGGCTTGAAACCGAAAAAAATTTTTCCGGTTTCGGTTTCGGTTTCAGATACCGGTTTTGATTTTTTCCGATTTCGGTTTCGGTTTCGGATACCGGTATCAATTTTTTCCGATTTCGGTTTCGGTTTCGGATACCGGTATCAATTTTTTCCGATTTCGGTTTCGGTTTTGGATACCGGTATCGATTTTTTCCGATTTCGGTTTCGGTTTCGGATACCGGTATTGACTTTTTTCGATTTCGGTTTCGGTTTCGGATACCGGTATCGATTTTTTCCGATTTCGGTTTCGGTTTCGGTTTCGGATACCGGTATTCATTTTTTCCGTTTCGATTTCGGTTTTTAACGGTTTTAACCGGTATTCAAAATCAGTATCGAATATCGATTTTAATCCCTGTATTTATAATAATTTATAATGACATAAAATACTGGCGTAGGAACCTACTTGCCAATCGCCAAACATTGCGTGGCGTACGATTTAGCGTCTGGTTGCTTGACAAGTACTATAGTATTTGCAATCAATGGTAATATTTACACTGGAATGAATACGTAATTATGACGTATTTAGTTATAGCCTCTCCACTTCATAACACATTTTCCAAATGATTTGCGACCTAATTTTTTAAGAGTTTGTGTAACTTCATCGTTTATAAGTTGAAACTATTTTTTCAATGAGGGGCTAACTTCATGTGTGTCCCACCCACCACATTAATCAATTTGATCACAGTTTGATTATATTATACCAATCTAGATTAGGTATATTAATCCAATAGAGTATGGTTGATGGTGGGTTGGTAGGGAGCACATTTTTCAGACGACGGCTTTTAGGGAAACCCAGACAATATTATGTTAAGGCCTTATAATGTATTATAATAAATTATAAATAAAATAAATTGTTTATAACTATACTATAATTATTGACTCAGTATTTCATAATTTATTGTTGGCTATTGTGTTAATTTAATGTAGGAAAATTATGCCACATAGTTATTTCTGTCTTCTGATCGTCTGTGGCGACAGAAAAACACGACAGCTTATAATATAGTAAATAATAATAGTATTATTGTTATACAATTTTTATTATAGCGTATTTCTGCGTATACTGTTTTAGAATACGACTATACGATTAATCCATTTACCAAAATAATATATAATATATAAATATAATATTTTAGAATCCAGTAAAAAACTAAGTAAAACTAAGCAAAAAAAAAGAAGTCATAGCACATGACCTTGGCTATAGGTCTAATAAATGGACCAAATTAATATTTTTTAATAATATTATTATAAACGCGCCATGGAAACGGCAATATAAATATTATAAACTATTAAAATAAATAATAATATATAATATTTATATGATAATTTATAAAAACTAATAATATACCAACAAAAATACTATGTCAACTCCATGTAAAAAAAAATGTAATTTAATTTAATTCTTCATTTTGCGCACGGAGTAAACAATTACCCCAGACGTATTAATACAGTATATTAATAATTTAATATGATAATTTATAAAAGACTAATGAACTTTAACTTAGCATAGTTATTTTTTATTTAAGGATAACTTAACTTTAGCTAGTTAAAAAAATTGGTTAACTTGCCCAGCTTTGCCATCATCCACATGATGTTATAATAAATAATTATATCTTATAAGTTATAATATTATATTTAATATTGATCACATTGTATGATAGAAGGATAGAACAAATTTACATAATATACACGATATTTATTATTTTCTACCATATGCATTATAAATTATATTATTCATAGCTTTTAAACAGAAATTCAATTATAGTCTATAGGTTTATTTTAAATGTGTAGAACTTTTTAAATGTTAGATATTAATGTTATAATTTTTCGACTTCCGTTTCGGATATCATGTTATTTCTTAAGATTTCGCCTTAAGTTTCAAAAAACGGTATTATTTTTTCCGATTTCGATTTCGGTTTCAAATATCTGTATTTATGTTTTCCGATTTCGGTTTCGGTTTAGGATATCGGTATTTATGTTTTCCGATTTCGGTTTCGGTTTCGGATACCGGTATTTATTTTTTCCGATTTCGGTTTCGGTGTCGGAAACCGGTATTGATTTTTTCCGTTTTCGGTTTCGGTTTCAGATACCGGTATCGATTTTTTCCGATTTCGGTTTCGGTTTTGGATACCGGTATTATTTTTTTCCGATTTCGGTTTCGGTTTCGATTTCGGTTTCGGTTTTTAACGGTTTAAACCGGTATTCAAAACCGGTATCGAAAATCGGTTTCAAGCCCTGCTTACCATTGACGTTTTTTCCTAATATCAGCTGACTGACCGTCTTCGCTCATAATCGTTATTCTTATACAATGATATTATATCATTGGATTCAAATTTAACACAATCCATTACAGTGACTCACTTGTAACCTACTGTACAACAGAGCGACACCCACTTGCCCACCTTTTTTTTTTGTTTTTTCTGGCGCTTTTAAATTTTGAACTCCTGAATGCACAAACAAGATTCACTTTCCCACCGAGAAAAAAGGACATCATTATAAAATCAATATCGAATATTATGTTAAAAATTGGATTCACTTTCCCATCGAATAACATATTGAAGTGGAAAATCGAAGCGTTATTTCGACTACTTATCGTGTACATAGAAACAAAAAATAAAGTGACTAATTTCAAGTCACTAGTATGTGTACACTTTTATTAGGCCTATTTTACAGAACCCTACTTACGAGTTACGAATCAGTATACAATTATTTATTATTATAAATATATTATTTTACCTTATCGTCACCGTTAACCTTTCTTCAGGAGTTATAGAAATACGCATATTTGTATTCTGTTTTTGTATATATTTTCCAACCAGCAAAATCTAGATTGTAAAAAACATTGAAGTAAATTAAAAAAAAACTAAATCCATTGAGTTTAGTAATTTAGTTACTATTTATAAAATATTGTATAGACTGACTTAATATTATTAATTTTATAAACTTACTAGTGTATCAAATGACGTTATTGACATACGAAAGTACTTAAAAAATTCTTCAGGATATTGCCGAAGTGTCAAAAATGTGACTTGAAATTGTCCTTCTTCAATTCTTTTCATATTTAATGGGTGTACCCAATGCACTCTTTTTCACGACCATGAAGTTAGCCCCCC